GGGTCCTCCGGAGGACCCGGCCTGTCGTTTTGGACACAGCCTATGTGCCTTTAAAGAAGAGAGGAAAACTTCTGTAAGATTGATTCATGCTGGACTTTACTGTTTGACTCATTAGCGCCTCTAGTGTTTGGGCATGGAACTGCAGCCACCATCACTGCTCTCAGGCAAAGGACAGATGAGTGACAGGACAGGGGCACTTCAGGGGGCCAATCAGATTTCAGCAGTAGCCCCGCCCCTGATTCCTGAAGCACATTACTTTTGTATTAGACCATACATTATTTTAAAAAATACTTAGTCTCAGATGTGACTGTTTTATATGAACACAGCCTAATAATTATATACATCATAAACAAAAGGAAAACTTATTTTTGAAACATTTAAATCTGTTCACCACAAAATAAATCTGCAGTTTTACCTGATCCTGATGGTCTCATATAAAATATATGCTTCGCAAAACTGGCTAAAATAGTATTTAGCAGATTAGCTGAAGGAAGATATTTTCTCCCCAGTCAAATCCGACATTTTGGCATTACTGGGATAAATAATTGTCAAACTCAAGGCCCACGGGCCAAATGTGGCCCACCATAACGTCAAAGATGTATCGTCACTTTTCCCATAATGTATTTTATTTTACCCACAGAATGACAGCGCCGCACCACTGGAGGCTCACATGGTTCAAAGATGGAGAAACTTGTATAAAATCTACATTTTGCTGCATCTTTGAGTGACGTGAAACTCAGTTATTGTTAGCGATGCTCAGCAGTTAGAAACATGACGTTTTAGCTAAAGTTAATTACAGCTGTAGTGAGGACCACCATAATACAGTCTGTTTGTTTTCCTGATTAAAGGCTAAAAGTAAACAAGGACAAACAGCTCAGCATCAGTTTCTTTTATTGTTCAATGCCACACACATATACTGGTTTTCTCTGCACTGTGCATGATGGGACAGTCACTATGAGGATGAGATGGGACACGTTGTAGGAGTTTACAGAATATTTTTCAGGATCAGCTGATCTGGTTCAGGTGGTCTCACTGCATCCACCAACAGCTTCTTCCTCTCTGCTCACTCCAGACTGATAAATATTCTGGGATTTGTCCGGTAGATCACTGTACAATAACAATCCTTCCCTTTTC